GGATTGGAACAGAGGCTCGTGAAATGTTCATCAAAGAATTGAGTCCCGAAACTTAATCGGATGATACCACATCGCAAGTACCGCGCTGATCCACAAAACTTAAGGGGGCGACCCAAATCAGTTAGTTTTCTCTTGATCCTATTCATCGTTCTTCCCTCGGACATATCTATTTCGCCAAGATTTAGTTGATATCATATATATATATATATATATATATATATATATATATGAAATGGCCAAAAGCTGACTGAACTAATACATACTATTCAGAGGATCACCACTAGTTTAGATCAGCCAGGAAAGTCTATTCGACGTACACCAATAACTAGACCCGAAAAAATATAAGAATGAAGCACAATCCTCAACACTGTTTACATCTAACGTCTCGTAAGTGCAATTGTTCAATCAATCAATCAATTACCAAAATAAACATTGATTGTTATCGAACGGCAATTAATCGTAAATGCTTATCTACGAAAATCATATTTGACTAACGGGTTAACAATTTTGGTATGAGCCCACAAGTTTTGCTATTCTCTATACCGAAATTAGGCAGATATCTTTCGGTCAAAATTTCTTTGATGATTGGTATAATTGCTTAAAAACCACGAGAATAAACTGAACAGTTCTCAAAAGCAGTGAACGTATTAGATCTGTTAATTGAATAGTTTAATACAAATGCCAGCTAATCGTGTCTGCAACCCGGTTAAGACTTATAACAACGACATGGTTCATCTCTCCGATGGTGACCGAGGCCTGATTCTCGCCTCCAAGAAAGGTTTTTCTGGTGGGCCGCTCCTAAAACATCTTTCGAGGGCGTCCTAGTAACAATGGGGTTTCCGGTCGAGAGGATGAAAAATCAATGCATGGAGCTATAAGTAGGTTGATGCACTATGAGAAAAAAGATCATCTACGGGTATTGGGAAACCCCGATTACCAAGTGCGTGAACTGACTCGAGAATGCCCTGGTGGCAATGGTCGACAGCTCGACAGCGGGGGGGGGGAGGGGCGAAGGACTGGGCACCCTAAATGCGTGAAACACGCGCAAAGAGCGCTTAATCCGGCTAATTGGACTGCGGTGTGTTCACAAACCGCCCAGCTGCTTTATGGATCAGGCCTTGGCTGGTCAATGGCTTTCATGATGTGTGCCTACTAAAATTCACATGGCAGCATTTTGTCTTCTGGCAAACCATGAACTGATTTCTATGACATTAGGATGGGATGTCATGATTTGATTAACAGTCAGCAATTATACAAATGAGTAAGAACGCCACCCTGCACGATATTTCCCTCAATTCCTCAGGTAAGATGATACCGCAAACCCCATGACCTTTAACTGACCTCTGTTTGTCGCGAGAAACATCACGTGTACGAGAAATCTAGCCAACGACTTATGTAACCCATATTTACGGTGCACTAACAAGCTAAATTGATGGAAATAAGGGAGACTTTAATAACAAACATAGGTAGCATGGAATAGAAATTTAAACAAAACAAAAAACATTAATGCACAACGTTATGTCTATCGTGCAGGCAATTGAACCAGTCCACTGACTTGCTTCGGAACGGAATTAGCTTTTCATGATATTCCAACGAGGTGTCTCTAAGTCCCAGGAACCGGAACAGGCGACATAATTGGGTGTCAATCCGGGCCCATTTGGGAATGGTATCGCGTGTTGTGGCCTTCGTGGTCTCATCTGATTCGGCCGTAGATGGGAAAATCGGGCCATTTTTGGCAGACACTTGTTCGATTGCAGCAGACAGAAGTGAGAAGGCATACGTACTGTACAGATATTTTTTCTCCGGGGCATGAACTAACGGATCATCCTGAAACAGTTGACATGCTTCCAGTGGACTATTGAAACGTTTGTTCAGAAGCATTTCCGGGTATGCCTGTCGTATTGGGGAGAGAGAATTAATCATCTATTCGACTTTGATGCGGACCACGTTTGAAATGATAGGATAAAAAGGAATGAACAGTACAGCGTGTGTCCAAAAAAAATTCGATAAACAACTTGCAGTGTATAAAGTATTTTTAGATATTATCATTCACTCATTGACGAAATATGACTGAATATGTTTACAAAGCAGGTTACACTCTATTCAAATTCAAAATACTGAATCTAAGTCCAGATATCTCGGGAATTTCGAAGCAGATGTACATTTTTACGCATGAATTTACTGCTTTCAGCCACATATGCCTAATCGTCAGCGATGTATCTAGTGATTAATAGCAATTTTTCTATGGAGGTTATGTGGAGGGGACGAGGGTAAGTTGTAGATGTTTGAGCACTATTGCCTACTCACCACGGGGAATCTATCAAGTCAGCCAGACGGGTGATGACGAGGTCAGACAGAGAGAGTGTTGCTTGATCGTACTCTGGGCGTCCATAGCTTGCAGTGGTGCCTTCGAAGCCAATGATGGAAGATACGCTGGCAATGACCAGTCATTATCATCATCATCAAAATCGTACAGTGAAATATATTAAGGCGCAATTCACTGATCACCGCCAAAGTCGCGATGCATACAAGGTTAGTGGTAGAATTTAAGGTGGACAGGGATTGGGCCCAGTTTGAGGGCGGGGGAAGAAGATAAACCTCTGTGCTCAACACACACAGAGAGTACACAATCGAACTCTGCATACATACCGTTTTTCAAGCATTCTGACCAAAGTGTTAGCTTCGGTTATATACTTCAACGTCTGACGCCTTGAAGAGAGACCAACATCCGTGAACAGCAAGCCGGATTCCGGCCTGGCCGTGGATGTATTGATCAGATTTTTACGTTGCGTCAGATCCTTGAAGTATATAACCGAAGCTAACACTTTGGTCAGAA